ATGGTTTGGCTTTGTGTCCCTACCCGAATCTCATTTTGAATTGTAATCCCAGGTGTTGAGGGAGGGAATTGGTGGGAGGTGACTGGGTCATGGGGGTGGTTTCTCCCATGCTGTTCTCATGATAGTGAGTGAGTTCTCATGAGATCTGATGGTTTTATAAGGAGCTCTTCCCACTTGGCTTCCTTCACTTGCTCTCTCACCTGCTGCCATGTAAGACATGCCTGCTTCCTCTTCCACCATGACTGTAAGTTTTCAGAGGCTTCCCCAGCCATGCAGAACTGTGAGTCAACTAAACCGCTTTTCTTTAAAAATTATTCAGTCCTGGGCAGTTCTTTATAGCAGTGTTTAGAACGGCTAATACAATAATTATGTGGAAGAGATAGTAGTTATATATAATGGGAGACTAAGTAAAAGAAAGATCTGTATGAAGTGAAGTGGAAACTGAAGGACTGGTGAAAGAAGTGGTAGCCGAACTAAATTTGGCTAGGTTGAAAAGAGGGCAAAGGGAATCCTAAATGGAAAAGGAGCAAGGCGCACAGAGTAGAAGTAAGCTACTAAAAACGACAGCTATATGAACCAGGATTGTGTAAGGAAGCTAGCCTGATTAAAGCAGAGAATACATTTTAAACAGTACTGGATGATTATGTCAGATAAAAAAGGTAGATTGTGACGATGTGAAAAATGGATTACTAGACAGGAATCTGGACTCAAGCAGATATAAGAGCATTATAGTTTCTCACACAGGGAAGAATCCAAAGTGAAAACATTATTTTGTACTGGTAAGTAATGTGTCTTAACTTTTGGTTGTGAAAACACAGGGTCTGACAAGTGCAAGTATTCCATGAAGTCTGGTTGATGGCGTGATGGCTGCTGTATTTGTAATCCACACAAAATCTCTGCAATACCTGCCAAGTCTGATTTATCTTGAGATTAGAATCTTAGTTTAAATTTCTACTTTCTACTTAGCTAACCACCTGCATTGTTTCCCATTCTGCTTTCTGTCTTTCAACCTAAAATAAAAATATAACAGGGTGAAATAAAATGTACTAATTCCCCATACACCGTTACACCTGGGCTGTGGTAAGGGGATCAACAGTGACTTCAGGTAAATAGTTCAATATCAATCAGGGTAGAAATGGCTCTTAACACAATATAGTCTGGTTTATTCTAAAGAAATAATGTCACAATTATGTTATTATAAATTCCTTATGTAGAAAAATAGTTATTTTCTTTAAAAAATTAATCATCAGGGTAGAATAAATAGTTAAAAGTGTTTTGTTTTAGTTAATATTAACTCTAGGAGAAAATCTTTAGACGAGCCCTAGTCAATGAACGGAACAAGAGGCAACTAGCAATCAACAAATCACTAAACTGTGAAATGTTTAAGACAAAGGAAGAAAACTGAGAACTTTATTCTCTCTTTGGAGTGACAGGTTCTAGGAAAGGGATAGGGGAGACCCTAGAGGCTGCCAGAAGAATGTAAAAGAGTCAGGAATGAGAAAATACGTATGTAAGACATTTCTGAAGGCCTAGAAGGTCTGTGTGAGACTGCCAACCCACCCAAAGGCTTATCGAGGGAGAGAGACACATAATCCCTTGAACAACAAAGCATAGCAAAGAAATTCAAAGTATCCAATCAACTAAATTCTTCCCCACGGAACTGAGGAACCCTTCACAGGTCTATATATTTTGTGTTGTACTGTAGGGAAGTGGTAGAATAGTAGGTATCCGGGCATATAATCCTTTCTAGAAGGATTCAGGGATAAAATCTGTAGAACATAAAAAGGGTCTGCTGCACAGATTACAAAAATTAACACTGCCTCCTCCAGTGTAAGGGTTTGAAATTAGGAAGCACAGTAGAGGAGCTAGGCACAGAGCTTCTAACATTAATTACTGGGGTTCAACTTTTGTCTTCCTGGTTTCCTAGATATATGACCTTGAGCTAGTTGTTCCAGTCTTCTTAAAGTAAATATGATATATGTGTATATGTGTGTGTGTGTGTGTGTGTGTTTATAAATGGAATGGGAAGAAAAACTACTTCATGCAGTTGTTGTGATAATTAAATAAGGTAATACATGGAGAAGACCTGGCGCCTGGTACATCTTCTGTAAATATGCACTATCATTATTATAAAATATTGTATAAAAGGTGAATAAATGTAAATTATCTTAACAGATTGTCCCAGGAACAATATTCAGGTATTAATTTTGAATATATATGGTCAACCTATGTTTGCCAGGTTGAATTTGCTTAATAAAGAGTAAAGAAAAACTGGCGGGTGATTTTTCCAAAGACTAAAGATGAAATGAGATAATATTACTTGGTACTTATATAGAAATGCATAGACTCAGACCCCTTTTTGAGAAAACAGAATTAGAAAAAGATGTAGAGAACTTAGAAGCGATTTTCTCCTAAGGGTCCATATTAGAAAATTTACTCTAGACAATATAAATCACTATCATAAAGAATTCATGAGAATGATAACATGGCACCAGAACTGTGACAAAACACCAATGAAACAAAACAAAACAACAACAACAACAAAGAAACCTACTTATCCCCAAACTTTTCTGATTTGTGAGTTATTATGGGTTTCACTTTTTAAAAATTCCCCTTCTGCTATGGCATGAATGTTTGTGTCTCCCCAAAGTTCGTATTTTGAAATTCCAACTTCCAAGGTGGTATTAGGAGGTGGGGCCTCTGAGAAATGATTAATTCATGACAGGAGCCTTCATGAATGGGACTAGTGCCCTTAAAAAAGAGGTCCAACAAAGCTCATTCATGCCTTCCATTATGCAAGGGCACAGCTAGAAGATGTCATGTATGAACCAGAAAGCAAGCCCTCGCCAGATATCAAATCTGCCAGAGCCTTGATTTTTCTAGCCTCCAGAACTGTGAAAAATACATTTCTGTTGCTTATAAGGTACCCAGTTTGTGGTAGCTTGTTAAAGCAGCCTGAATGAACTAAGACACCTTTCTAAAATGTGTTATAACTGACTAATTTAAAAATTAGAGTACAATCACTGCTCGGGTGACAGGTGCAATAAAATCTCAGAAATCACTAATAAAGTACTCAATCATGTAACCAAAAACTACCTGTACTCCAAAAACTATTCAAATAAAAAAATTAGAATACATTAATATCAGTATTTTTCCTGAGAATCTCATTAACTCCTTTGAAATAACTGAAAAATAGCACTAGATATTGTAATATGGATATTGAAAATATCCAGAATATAAAAATTGAATTTAGGCTGGGTAAGTTGGCTCATTCCTGTAATTCCAGCACTTCGGGAGGCCAAGACAGGAGGACTGCCTGAGGCCAGAAGTTCAAGATCAGCCTGGCCAACATAGTGAGACCCTATCTCTGCAAAAGAAAATTGAATTTTAAAAAGTCACATTGAACAAAAATTTTGAAGAATATTTAATTTGTTTCAGCTGATAATTCCTAAGATTCTCTATACTAACTATATTAAAATAATAGAACTTGCTGGGAAAGTTGGGAAAATGATACTAGAGAGGTTAGAGTATAATATAGCAACTTTTTGCTTCCTCAGATCTTATTTAGAGCTCATCACAAATTAGCAAAGAATAGGTACTTTATAGTTCCAAACTAAGAATTCCATGTGAGTCCTTAACAAAGATACTGTATTACAAATGTACAGCTCAGTTCTCAAATCCACTAAAAAAGATGAACACAGCTGAGAAGTCAAGTGGATTAACAGGCTTGTAATGATTAAAGGGTAATAAAAAGCAGATAGCTATTTTGAATTCAATGCTATTTTTCTTCTTAAGCCTGGGCTCTAAACATGTATTCTAATGCCAATAAATTTAGAATCTATTTTTTTTTTATCCAGAACATTCTGTTCAATGTTTATCACTCTAATTTACTTATATAAAAGAAAACAAAATAAAACTTTCAAAATATGTAAGGTTAACATTAATGCAACAGCGCCACCCAGTGAATATGCTGTATATTCAAAAGTGTTACTAGAATTTACTATTTTCTTTAAATACTAATGTGTACTTTCAAAATATCTATGGCCTCAACCATTTATATAAAATTATACACTACAATACTAACTCAAAAATATATAAAAGCACTATGCATTTTTACTTTTCCATTTATAACTACAGTTAAGATGTGCTTTCTGATACTCGTGATTAAAGGGTTTTGAATATTAAATGCTACCTATGTTGCTACCTATGTCAGCAAGCCAGAAATGCTGGCCGATAGGAGAGACGTATCATTATTTCCTCTTGTATGAAATGTTACACAGGCATAAAACAATGGCACTTGTTTGCTTTTGTAGATTTTGTATATATCTGATAATACAGTACATAGTTTCAAAGATTTTCTGTCTCATGCCCTTACTATAAAATGTGTGTTCATAATTTCACTACATCTTGCTATTACTATTCCTAATTCATATAAGTGAATTGAATGATGGCATCAATAATACAACCACAGAATTTGTAAACCAATCAATAACGTAATGTGGTGCTTCAGCACAAGAGTTTGAGGCTGCAGTAAGCTATGATGACACCAGCCTGGGCAACAGACTGAGACTCTGTCTCAAAAAAAAAAAAGCTAATATGATATAATATCAGATAACATCTTAATATTCTACTCTATAGTGACTAGAACATAGTTGGGAGTATTGCTTTTGGTATTAAGTCCATATAAATCTACTAGAACACTTTTTATGTTATCTTTTTATTTCTCATGAAATAGAAATACATTGGAGGAAAAGGCAAAAGGAACTAAAATATATTCAACAAAATGAACATTTCTTTTTCACTCTGACCTGCTAGTTTCCCTCCTCAGAAGCTACTACTATTACTTTGTTAGATGCATCATGTCTCAAAAGGAGTTCAGTTCAACAACAAACACTGATTGGGTGTGCAGTTTGTACCAGGCATGGCGTTGGGCATTAGAACATCAAAGGTCATTAAGAACCAGACCTGTGTGATAGTGGAGACAGGCACAAAACAGATCATTTCAATATAACATAAACTTTTATTTTTTTAAGTATGCAAAGAATCCATCTCAGACCTCTCTTCTTGAGTTTCAGAATCATTCATCCAATTGCCGTGTATCTGGACATGGTATGTTTCACAGGCATGTTAAGCTAGACATGTTCAAAACTGAATCACCAGTTACCTCCCAACTGAGTCTGCCTCTATGTTACCTAAATCAGAGACTGGCATCCCATTTATCTGGGTACTCAAGCCAGAAAATTTCATTTGTACTTATCAAGCATCTCCAGCGTATAAAGATTTGTGCTAAGCTGTGAATACATGACAGCAAATGGGGTAGTCCCTGTCTTCACTAAAGCTTGTTGAAACTCTGTCCTTGATTTATCCCATTTCTGCCCTCACAATTCAGCCAGTCACCAAGTTTTGCCATTTCTACTTCCTAAAATTCTTCTGAGATCTATTTCTACCCACACTGGCAATGCCCCAGTATAAACTGCCATCTTTCTTTCCCTGGTTTACTACAATTATCTCCTAACTGGTTTCCTTCTTGCTGGTATTGCCACCCTTTGAGTTCTTTTTCTCAGAGTAGCGATTCATCATTTAAATACTAACCTAATCATGTTGATACCATTCAAAGGTACTATTAGCCTTAAGAAGGAGTCCAAAGTTTGTTACATCATCACTAATGCTCTTCATGATCTGGTCCCTATTTGCCTCTCCACCCCTGTCTAGAATCTCTCAGTTCCTAGACTGTGTTCTTCTTCATAAACATTGTTAGCCTCTATCTAGAACACTTGTCTTTTACCCTTTCAATTCCTAGCTATTCTCAAGCATGGAGCCAGTAAGACTGAACTGCCTTTTTTTGATTTTTTTTATTTTTTTCCCTATGAGAACGTAAACTCTGTCAGGAAATTATTAGATTGGTTATTGCCATATTTGCTTTTTCATTATTACATTTCCAGTATCTAGCTTAGTATCTAGCATAAAATAAGGGTTCAATGAATATTTTCTGAATGAATCCATGAATGTCAAGAAAGCAGAGAAAAGTCAACTAACTCAGACTATGGAATAAGGAAAGGCTTCTTAGAAGAACCCTAAAAAATTAGTAAGGATAAAGAAGAGTCAGCCAAAGAAAATAAAGACAGTCCAGACAAAGTCAACAAGAAAGTGAAAGGTCTCAGGTGTAAAGCAGCCTCATGAATGCGAAGTGGGTAGGATGGGAGATGGTACTGGAAAGGGAAACAAGACTGGGAAGGAAAAGAGTGGCAAGATGATGAAGACCCTAGCACACCAGGCCATGGAGGTGGACTATCTTGAAGGTGACCGTGGAGGGAGATCAGAAATTTAAGGAGGCAAGTGAAATAGATTTACATTTGAGACTGGTCATTCTGGCTGCTACTTACAAGATGGATTTGGTGGTGTAGGTGGGGGTGGTAGTAGTTACAGCTGGAGGCAGTGAGATGAGATAGAATTGGGAGTACAAATGAAAGCAAAGGACAAAAAGAGTTTGAAGGGCTCATGAGCCTCCCAAATGTCTGAACTTCAAGGAAGAGGTTAGGAATAGCAGTAGTTTTAGAATCCATGAGCAAATAGGTTAAAACAATGAGTAGATAGTCCGCACAGGGAAGACACAGACAGAAAACAACTCAAGGTTGGAACTTTGGGAAATACTATTTAATGGGTAGGCAGAGGAAAAAAAGACCCCCAAGAAGCATGAGACAGGTAGAAAAAGATGGGAAAAATGCAAAAGGAGTTTCAAGGAGGGTTTGATCAATGACACCAAATGCAGAAAAGAGGTCTAGAACAAGAAACAGTGTTCATACATTAGTGGAGGAAGTACGTTACATTTTCTGAGACAGACAAATAAGACAGGTGGCTATATGTGGCATTGACAGAAGTGGAGAGGGAGGAAGTTATATATTGTATGATGGCTTTAATTTTCTCAATTAACTGGGAAAAAAGTATTGGGATTGTCTGTGGCCCCTACGGAATCTCTATTCATAAGAATGGGTGCCTGATGGCAAGTAGAGTGTAGGACCCAATCAGTATTTCACCTATTCCTACATTAGACCAAGTGAATCAACTTTTTGTCCCTATTGATCTGTTAAACAAAGTAGATATAACAATTTGGAAACCCTGTCACTTAAAAAAAGAGATTTGTTTAAAGCACTAGATATCACAGCATCACCACTTGCATTAAAGATAAAGTCCTAGCTGCAGGCTGCCATGGTCTCTTTGGAACACCCCCCATCTTGTCACTCAAAGGTCCACTCAGTCCTGATAGGTCTGTCATCCAGAATTTAAAGTGCAGTCTAGAAAAGGAACATGAAATTAAAATTAGAAAGGCAATAGACACAACAAATTGCAGATGCATATGAACGTGTTATGTGCTTGAAACATACCTTTAAGACTACTCTGGTCACTTTCTATTAAAGAGAGGAATTTAGGCTGGGAAGAGGAATGAGGAAAGGGTAAAGTTTGTGAGAAATCACTGAAAGTTACAGGAAAGGGAAATTACTGATGATAAATTAAGGGCTTGTCAGGAATCCGGGAAAGAGCTGAAGATAGAGACTGACAATCTGTCATATGTCACTTTGTGTCATTTTCTCCAGTGTTTCCAGTTAAGGATTTATAGACAAGATTCAGGGACAAGATTTTGACAGGCACCTGGGTCAGAGGCATCAGACACAGGAAGTTTGGATGCTGATAAACCATGTAGACTAGGCTGTGAAGGGAGGTATTAGCAGGAGGGCTGACAGGGAAAATGAAATAGAAGGGCAAATGTAGCACCTGTGAGGGTATAAAATTATGATGCTACAATCATAAAGAACACTGAAGTTTTCTGCAATTGTCAGTGTTTTTATAGGTGATAACAAAACTCTTAGACTAATGTCTAGGGTGAGAATTCTGATGTTCCACCTTCTACCTTACACTGACCAGTATCAGGCAACGAAAAGTTTTTAAAAGTCAGATTTAACCTTCTAATTAAATTAATTTGAATAAACACTCATTTTTTAAACAAATAATGTACTTCTAATATAACTATTTATCACATCAATAGTAATATTAACCCCCAAATAAACAATATTTATTGTCGATACAACAAAATCGTCATCTTGCTCTTTTCTTCCTTTGCCTCATTTTTCTCTTTCTCCAAGTTCCATTCTAATCTTGGCTTTCACATAAATCGCTTGGTTTTTTTGTCTCGATTCTCAACAACAACTTAGACATTTGTTAAGCACTTGCCACTTGCAAGATATTTTACTAGGGACCATGTATAAATAATAACAGTCAAAATAACAGCTAATATTTATCAAGTACTCATAATTTTGCCAAGCACTTAATTAAGCACTCTACGGGAACTAATTCACTTAATCTTCATGATACCCTATAAAGTAGAACTGTTATCCCTATTTTAAAGATGCAGAAACCAGCTCAGTTAGGTTAAATAGCTCGCCTAAGTCCACCTGGGTAGTAAATGGTGTAATCAGGGATTTCAATCCAACTCCCTCTGACCGTAGAGATGTGCTCTCAGTCACTACACTATGGTTCCCTTCCCTGCCTCTAAGGACATATGATTTGGTGGAAGTTATGCACGTATAAGTAATCAATTTGATTTGGCAAGTGTCAATGAGACAGGTCTCTTTTTTCTGCTTTCCTCACTGACTCTAATATTTTTTAAAAATCTATTTTCTTAACCTCCTTTTGAGTCTTACTAGATTCCGACTTTGAGACTTACATCAGTAAATAGACATTGAAAGATAAAAGCCCTGAACTAATGAATATGAAATGTATTTTTATTTAAAATTGGTATAGACTTCACTATCAGGTTTGGTCCTTCAACCCACAGGACAAAGCACCGGTATTTGTCTACATTCAACACAACCTTTCTAGCACTTTTTTCACATAATTCAGTTCAGGTTCCCCATCCAACACACGACTGTCACCAGATGATGCTATACCCTGTGACCAGATACAAGTTCTATTATGTCCTCTCGTGTCCCAAACCTCAATAAAACTTAATGGCTTTCTCCCCTGATAACTAGGCCTGCCGTGGTTTCCTAACTTGTATTAAGTGCAGTGTTTCCATTCTTGCCAAAACAAACAAAATACCATGTAAAAAAATACAGATTTCAGGGCCCCTTATCTGAAGAATGCAACTCACTCAGGAATGTGCAAGTTTGGGGAACAGTTCAGTGGTGGAAAGCACCTGATGTTCCTGGCTCCTCCTGAGGGCTGATCGAAGAGGGAGAAGCTAAAATCACGAGACCTGGTTTCTACTTTAGACAGTACCACCTACTGTATAACTTCTAACAAATCACTTCTCACTGAGTCCAGTTTTCTTATCTGTAAAAGCGAGAGGATTTGACCAGATGAATGTTACGTTCCTTCCACCTCTTGAAGTCGTGCTTATGAGCACAGAGTCAGAGGATGTGTGTTCACATGGAAGCTATGCTACTTGTGCGCAGATAACTGCATTCTCTGATTCAGAGCCCTCACCTGAGGGGATGATAGTATCTCTCCACTCTCCCTTTTCTCCCCTTTAATGAAATCTAAATGAGATGATGCTGATAAACATCTAACAGAACCCGGCACATAATCAATGTTCAACAAATTATTATTACTCTGGAATTCTATAAATTACCTCTGCACTTCCTCCCTTGTCACCCTGAACTTAGTGAAGTTTCCTCCACTTGGTTTTTGCCCTTCAACTCGGACCCAGAAAACGCGCTCAACGCCGGCGGAAGTCACGCTAAGCTGGGCTATAAATGCTCAACCCCGGTCTCTTCCCCGAAACCCCGGCGCTTCCACTTCCCGCAGTCCGAGGTTCCGACTCGGCGCCAGCTCCGCGAGCAATGGTTCCGCGCTGCGCCCTGCCCATTCCATGACAACTCCAGCCCCACCTGCCTGGCGGCTCTTGAGCCCAACCGGCATCCGTCGCGGTTGGACGTGGGCTTGCCGGAACGAGGCGGGACTTCCAGTAGGAGGCGGCAAGTTTGAAAAGTGACAACGGTCGACGTTTGCTGATTTTTTACTTTGCTTGTAGCTGCTCCTCGAACTCGCCGCCTTCCTGTCGGCGGCCGGCACTGTAGGTGAGCGCGAGAGGACGGAGGAAGGAAGCCTGCGGACACCTTCGCCATCCCAAGGCGCGGGCAGGTGTCGGGACGCAGGGCTTGGCGGTGTTTTTGTTGTGCTCAGCGGTGGGAGGAGGCGGAAGAAACTAGCGCCTGGGAGGTGAGGGGCGGGCCCATCGTTACTTTTTATTTGATTTTAGTCCCAGAAACAACCAGAGTTCAGTTCCTAAGAAACTAATGGGTGTTTTCTGGTGCAGCATAGACCAAAGAAGACGAGCTTGAGCTGAAATTGTTCAACTTAGGCATACATTTATGTGTGATTTTTGGAAAGGAGGTGGTGATGTGGCTTCTTTGGCTGCAGATGCTTGTCAGCTTTTTACACATCTCCGTTGCCAAACGTTTCTTAACCAAATCCAAAACCATGAATGAAAGGACAAAAATATCACTTTCAATGCACGTTCAAAATTCAAAGGAAGAGAGCAGCGTATATATAGCACTACGCATGCGTAACGCTATCATTTTTTTTTTCCCTTTTTAAAGTTCAAGGAACGTTTTACTTAATTCATTGAAGTTGGGAGTCATTTCTGTTTATTTTTGTTTAATCTCTGCCTCCTGGAACTGTGATGTCCACAAATAGTTTATTTTAACAAAACAAAGTGTGTAAAATTTAACAGATAATACTTTTAGTATCTACTCTGCTCAGCATCGTGGTGCTGCAAGTAAGTGAGAAACCAGAGGAATAATTAGCAGTTAATCTCTGCTACTCGTTAGACAGAGTATTACTGCGTATATATGAAGTCATTTATGTACTTTATCCCACCCAGGAGCTCAAACTGTGTAGTTGGAAAGTGTCTTTCTTCATCTCTCGTTAATGAATAAATTGTAACTGAAATGGTACTCCGAAAGAATGATAGAATTTGGATATTGGAGGAGGTTCCAAAAGGAAATACTGGAAGTTTGGGAAAGTTAGGAGACTAACTTGGAGGACAAATTTCATTCAATTATTAAAGGTTTTGGAAGCCTAGCAGAAAAATTTGAATTTGATGTGGGTAAGGTAATTGAAGTATTTTCGTACAAATATTATATGATGCATTAAGTGTTTTTTATAAGGATTAATCTGATAGTAGAGTGCCAAATATTAGAGAAGAGAGGAACGAGTGATAATAATTTTGAAGATACTTTACACCTATGCTTTCTATTGCAATATTCTGTAATTCAGATGCAGGTTCTTTGGAAAAGTGACTTTTTCTGAAGTCTTTCTTTGGTCCAGTCCTTTTATAAACAACCTCTAAGTCTATGACTTACATGAAAATGTAGAATGCATATTTATGCCAAAGGGGACATCTGATATGTGATGCATCAGAATCCAAAAGATCCCAGCTCTATGGCCTGGCAAGGTAGCTCATGCTTGTATCCCAGCACTTTGGGAGGTTGAGGTGGGAGGATCACTTGAGCCCAGGAGTTCAAGACTAGACGGGGCAACATAGACCCCATCTCCACACACACGCAAATTAACAGGGCGTGGTGGTGTGTGCCTGCTGTAGTCCTGGCTACTTGGGAGGCTGAGGCAGGAGGATAGCTAGAACCTGGGAGATCGAGGCTGCAGTGAGCTGTCATTGTGCCACACTGCACTCCAGCTTGGGTGACAAACTGAGACCCTGCCTCAAAGAAAAAAAAAATTAGACAAAAGGTCCTAGCTCTAACAGGAAAGCTTGCAATCATGAAATTTAATGGTAGAAAGTCCAAATTCTTGCTTAAGGTTCAAATGATCAGTTTATACAACAAGAACACAAGTGACCCAGCAGATGTGACCAAAAAAGAGGAAAAGAGGGAAAAAAAAGAACAGGGAGAAGCCGTCTTGATACAAGATGGTCATGGTGAAGTTCTTGGAGTTTCAGTTGATCAACAAGTGCTACAGCAGAGGCCATTAATACTGTGCCCTAGACAGACCATGTCGTATTCAGTTTGGGCACTACATTTTAAGAAGACATTTACAAAATAGTGTGTGTTACAGGAAGATGAATAAGATAGTAGTTTCTAAAACAATGTCGTTATAAGGAGTATTTTAAAGTTACATATAGCCAAACATAAACAAATTATACTTGCTTTAAAAAAGGGAGGGCTTAGCAGAGGTGTAATAGCTTTCTTCACATTTTTGAAAATGGTGTCATGTAAACAGAGATTAATATATTCTATTTAGTTGCAGTGACTGGACCGAGAGGTAAAATTACAACAAAACATATTTCCACACACTGTAAGGAAGAGTTATTTAATTTGGAATCATAATAAAGTGGGAAAAAGTTGCATTGAGAGTGAATTCTGTGATGATGTCACATGTTCAAACTGAATTGGGAAGTTATTTGTTAATCATTATTTAAAATGGCTTCCATTTATTAGAGGTTAGGCAAGTTGCCAAAGCTCCCGTTTTTAACCCTAAAATTCTGAAAAACATTAGGAGCCTAAAGAAATAGATTCTCAGAATTGTGGGCCATTTCAATGTATTTGCAAAATTGAATATATTCACATTGGGTCTCTAAGATCATTTTGCTTCACTGGAGAGTAGGGGATCTGAAGGTAACACAACAGGTATTTAAGGGAGTGGCTGAGCAGTGGCTGCTATTGCTGCTCATTTCCCTCTTGCTGTTACTACTGCTATTTTTGTGGTTACAGGGAGAGATACGAAGAAAATGAAAAGATCCTGGAATCTCACAATGTAGTGTCAGAGTTCTTTAAACATAGTTTTGGTACGTTGCAACTAGTATCATAACAGGGTTAAATGCAAGGCTCTAGGACAAGGTTTTCTTTCTTTCTTTCTCTCTTTCTTTCTTTCTTCCTCCCTTCACTTCCCTCCCCTTCCCTCCCCTTCCCTCCCCTCACCTGCCCCCTCCCCTTCCCTCCCCTCCCCTTCCCTTCCCTCCCTCCCCTTCCCTCCCTTCCCTCCCTCCCTCCCCTTCCCTCCCCCTCCCTCCCCCTCCCCTCCCCCCCCCCCCTCCCCTCCCCCCTCCCCTCCCCCCTCCCCTCCCCTCCCCTCCCCCCTCCCCTCTCCCCTCCCCTCCCCTCTCCCCTCCCCTCTCCCCCTCCCCTCCCCTCCCCTCCCCTCCCCTCCCCTTCCCTTCCCTTCCCTTTTCGACACAGGGTCTCTATCACCCGGGTTGGAGTGCAGTGGTGCAATCTCTGCTCACTGCAACCTCTACTTCCCAGTCTCAAGTGATCCTCCCACCTCAGCCTCCCAAGTAGCTGGGACTATAGGCATAGGCCACCATGCCTGACTAATTTTTAGGTTTTTTGTAGAGATAGGGTTTCATCATGTTGCCCAGGCTGGTCTTAAACTCCTGGGCTCAAGCGATCCACCTGCTTTGGTCCCCCTCAAAGTGCTGAGATTACAGGTACAAGGTTTTTTAACATCAGCATTTATTGACCTTTAGAACTGGATAATTCTTTGCTGTGGGGGCCACCCTATACATCACAGGACGTTTGGCAGCATCCCTGGTCTTTACCCACTAGATTCTAGTGGCACCCACACTCCTGTGCTGACAACCAAAAATGTCTCCAGCCGTTGCCAGATGTGCCCTTGAGGATAAAGTTAGAGAACTACTACTCTAGGGGGACACAGATAGGAATAACTCACTACATGAAGACATTAGGAGATACGGTTTTTCGTTTTCTTGAAGTTCTCACTCTGGTGATAGGAATTGCTACCAATTATATAATCTATTCTTATTCAGTTGTTTTTCTCTCTTCTGTTTGCATCTACAACCTGATTAGCCATCTCACTATATATGTATTGAATAGGATGTCAAAACTGAATACAATTTTTTATGCTCTATATTACTGTTGTTTATATATGGCTTCTGCTGATAATGTTGCCTATATGCCTTGCTTTGAGAATTAATTATTAGGATTGGTCTTGTTAAGCTCCTTGGCCCTCACATGTAAAAGAAAAGCACATGGTTCCCATCTATGTATTCAACCAAAGTCCTCCTTCCTAAATGTGTTTTTCTCTTCCTACAAAAGAGAACAACACTAGGAAAATTAGTAGAAAATAACTGTGTCACCTTAGAATAAAAGTAATTTTAGGATACATAGATAAATATTTGTCTTTATTTTACTAAGATATTTGATGATAGTTAACACTACTATGAATAGTTCAACTTTGGCTCTTTCATTTTGTCCTAATATTTATTAGTTTCCAGATAATGAGAGCTACTGATTATGTGATATTTCTAATATTTTTTTCTTCCTTCAGATTAACAGGAAACTTCCAAGATGGAAACTTTGTCTTTCCCCAGATACAATGTAGCTGAGATTGTGATTCATATTCGCAATAAGATCTTAACAGGAGCTGATGGTAAAAACCTCACCAAGAATGATCTTTATCCAAATCCAAAGGTAAAAGGTGGTTATGTTTGCATGTGGATAATGGTATTTAAGAAAAAAGTAAGCTACTAGGTCTATAGTGTGGCAAGAAAGGGATATGCCCTCCTATTTGATAGAGACCATTTTCATCGAGAGAGAATCTCTCACCTAGTGTAATTTAAAAATAACACCAAGTTTATATGTGTGGTGACTTCTACATTCCCATTAGGATTCAACTCTTTAATATAGTCATTTTCTTTAAAAAAAAAAAAAGAAAACCAGCTTCTAAAGCATATTAAAGTATATTCAATTTTTTATTATTATTGGAATGGTGGTTTGAGAGTATCATTTATTGGTAGGGGTTGAAGGAACTTATTCCAAGTGGTTTTCAACCACAAAAAAATGCTTAGAAATAATCCTCTTTGGAAGCTTACAGATTAAT